AAAAAAAAAAAAAAAAAACAATTAATACCAAAAAACTAAAATAAATTATATATGATAATAACAAATAAAATAAATAATATATATATATATATAAGAAAGAAATAAGGGCCTGAGAGTGGGTTTCAGTGGATTGAATTCCGGTCATGAGCTTTTTTCACGCCTGGTATTCCATACGTCTGGTACAGGTACTAATACCGTCTGGAACGGTACGGTACAAGATCACTTATCATGCATCATGTAAGTTACGGATTGTGTCTTGCATTGCATGAAGAATTGATCATGTGAGGCTGCCTACTCAAATCCCATTTCCATCTGCGTCGGATCTCTGCGAAGCTTCATGATAGAACGTATAGGTATCAGTCGATACAACTTTTTCGATTATTGCTACCGACGTAACGGGTTTGGATCCGTTTTCGACGGTCGGACAGTGGAATTCCAATTCTTGAGGCAGGACGGAGAAGAATGGATACGTTGCTGCGTCCTACCTGAGCTTACACCGCATTTTCCGCAGCTGCTCAATCTAGTAACTGGGCCCGTGTAGGTACCTTTCGTTGGTGGATCACATCAAATATCAAGCGTCCGGTTCGCCTCTGCAGGTACTCTCAACGGCCCAACAATGCATCCATGTTTGAGCTGGCCCGACTCCGCTTGTTGGAATTTGCTACCTCGGAGGAAATTAAGGGGAGGGGGGGAGGGAGAAAAATAGAATCATACCTTCGATCTATCAATATGACAAATACGACCGTTGGCAAGCTTCCTGCACGGCAGACCGACAGTCACAGTTGGAAGCGACTCTGTCCAAAAGTAGACTTTGATGCACCGTAGATCTCACTGAAGTTGCCGTTTTCTGGTGTACGGAGTAGCTTTAGCACTATTTTGGCGATCACCCCAGAGACATTTCGGCCGGTTCTCGACTAACGGTACGGAGTATATGCGACACTTAACGTCTTGAGCATTTGCCAGACCGCCTTCATTAAACGAACGGCATTAAGACAGTGTCTCTTAGTATTGCGGCCTTCGCTAGAACTTCTAGCGTTAGTAGCACAGACAGCCTATCCACTGCCGAATTGAAAAGTCTCGCCGCAATGCTAGAGCTCCATCGAAGGGATTGGAAGAAGTCTAGTGGGCCGCTTCCATTCTTCGGTTCTGTACGGACGGAATGGAAGCACTCCCGGACTTCTGAGCATGTCTGACCGCAGGTCAGCAATGCATGAAGAGGGCTTTGCGGTGGCAGAGGCCTTAGAAGACGCACAAAGAACTGGTGATCAATGCAGCAAGCGATGCAAACCTGTCATTTAACGGCTGTACGCCAGAATCCCCAGCTGGTAAGGCAAGCTGCGCCAAAAGTCCGGGACCTTGGGACCCTGTCCGTCGTGCCGTGTCTGCAACCAGGGAACCACCAGGGACGAAAGTGGAGCCTTCCAGTCGCAAGGCGACCTCGATTCTGTCACGCAGCTTGCTTAAGGCTTGGGATAGACCTACCGGCAGCTAATTCTTTTCCAGACTGTATAGCTCCAAGGAGGAAAGGCCGGATGAGTTCCTATTTGCCGATATGACCCAGTTTCCTGATTTCTCCACCCGAGGTCCTAGTCTGGAACAAATGAGGCGTAACACGGGAAGTTTGCCGCACCGCGGCCACGGTCCTTTAAAAACGCCCAAGACGCGCGCACGGTGGAAATCCCAGGCGGCAGTTTTTGATTAATCGAACGTATCGAGCAACAAATTGAGTGATTTGCTCATGTATTACTCCCTTTCCAGGTTCTATGACCACGTTTGTTGTCTCGCATTGCTTATTAACATGACGGGTGGTAGCCCCATTTAGTGGATACGTGTCCCAGTGCAGATTTCCCAATAATCATGTCCACCAGAAGTCCAATAGTTTGAGAAGCAATTGGTCCGGGGAATTATTCTGCTGAACCGTTAAGGATCTCGGGGGCGTCCTTTTTCTCCCAATCATTCAATTTTCTAATTTCTCTTTTAATATCTTGTCTACCCACACGTCCCTCTCCCCCTTGGTGACCACTGCGTCAGTGATACCTTACCAGATACCGGAAAAAGCCACCAACTCCTGAAGGAGCAATTTCTGGGGCTAGTTCGTCAAAAGTACTTTCGCTTCGATGTAAACACACCTCGTCATCGGACACTATGCCGAAGAAAGCGGTGTATGAAATCCAGCGCGATGGATCCGTAGTAGTAGTGCCATTCGCACCAATACTAGGCTCACCGGGGTGGGCGACCCGCTGATAGGATGATTATGCGTATCAGAAACGGAGTTGACCTTAGTGAGAGTAAGAATTCCCATCGATCAGTCATGTGGGGTGAATGTCTTGGCGCCCACGGCCACAACACTGGATAAGTTAGTCCCTCAAAGAATCTGGTCAGACTATTGAATCGATCCTCATCCCCTTTTGGCCTTCTCACCAGTCACAACCCACAGCCCAGACAGTCCACGTTCCTACGAGGTTATTGATAGTAACCATCTATCTGTGGTTACCGTCGGCTCGTTTCCTTGTCCGGGATCCAGATCCAGCGCCTTCAGTGTGGTACCGTTCAGATCCCGAAATCAAAGCACAGCCTCCAGGGTTAATTAGTTTGATTAATCGGATTGTCATCATGTCATCGTTCCAGAAATGGACGGTCTCTGAGGTAGGAATCTGAACACCTTGCGCGGTATTGCCACGGATGGGAGAACCGTAAATAATGGATCATTCTCACTTTTCAAACATTAGCCGTACATCGATATCGCAGGGACCTTGTTAGAGGGACCATTCTATGATGAGCCCAGAAATGAGTTCCGCTTTGTTGATATCTGGGAGCAGAAATTCTATGTGGTGGACTTAGCCAAAGGCCCAGACTCGTTGAAGACTATTGACACGTCTGCTTCAATTGGGTGTGTGGATAGACCCCTGCAGCTGTAGCTTTTCCGGCAACCTTGGACTGATCAGCGGAACGGGAAATTAGGGTAACTGCCAACATCAAAGATACTGGCGATGCGTACAACGGCCAGATAATCGTAGCCGCAAAACATGGATATGCTCTCCTCAACCGCGCCACGGGCCAGCTCTCGTACATCTCCAAGGTTTGGGATGACCAGAAGGACCCAGAAAGAGCCCGCATGTGAGTGAAATCCAAGTTTGCCCAGCTACTGTTCGTGAAATCTGACTAAGCGGATTCACCCAAAACAGAATGCGTTTCAACGACGGGGCGGTCGACAGCCATGGGCGGTTCTGGGCTGGTTCAATGAATGACCCCAAAGTGCAGTCCCCGGTCAACGAGGCCGTCCTCTTCAGACTGGACCCCGACATGAAAGTGCACCGTATGGTCGAAGGTCTGACTATTCCCAATGGGATTGGTTGGAACCATGCGGACGACACAATGTACCTGACCGACTCACCCACTGGCAAAATTTACGCGTTTGACTTCGATGCCCAAACCGGAGAGATCAGCAACCGTAGAGTCCACTTTGACCTGGGAGAACCAAAGGAACCCGATGGTTTTGCCATTGATGCAGAAGGCTGTATCTGGAGCGCCATTTACGGGGGTGGTAAAGTCATCCGTATCTCCCCGGAAGGGAAAGTCATTGGAGAAGTGTTGCTTCCAACGAGAAACATCACCTGTCCGATCTTCGTTGGAACTGAACTACTCATCACCACCGCCAAGGATGACATCGATGATGAGCAGTTCCCAAACTCAATCCGGTATGGAGGGCGAGTCTATAAGGTTGACGTGGGAATCAGGGGCAAGCCCAAGAATGAGTTTCGATTCCAAAACTGATGTATGCATAGCATAGTAAGTATTATGGAGGACGAAGCAATGACCACACAGCCCTGGTGAAAGATCAATCAGATAGTACCAATTGGGAGCCAGCCTGTGGGACCATCGTACCGTTCATCAGGAAGTACCCTGTTTACCTAGAGATAGTGTTTGCCGAGGTGAAACACCTCCTTGTTTTCGGGAAGGGAGATTCGAATATATTTTTCTCACAGCCGAAACCCAGATTGTTTCCCAGGGTATTGAAAATATGCAAATTCGAACAGCCGCAGAAGGTCATCGAGTCCTTGTGCGACCAGTACGTTTGTCCCTCGAACTATTGGACAGTTCGTTGGTCGAACGGTTTCCGGATTCTTGGCGCCGATGCATATGAAGTATTCGCCGAAGTAATCCCTTGCAGTAGTCCATTTGTTCTTCACGACCAATATGAAGATGTTTGTGCTGGGTGTAAGAATGTGGATGACGACTGATGGCTGCAGATTGGGCTTACTTTAGGTGCGGGAGTGACCGCAGCCTCGAGACGGCATCCAATAAGGTAAAAAAAGGCCATGCACGTACTTTTAAAACTGGGAAAAGCAAGCTGAAGAAATCCTCGTATATGTATAATGTAAGAAGGGGTCTATTCTGTAACCATAGAACATCCGAAACTACATATGCCTGGAGCTCCTATATCTGTCTCTTTTTTTATATTTATTTTTAATTGTTTTCCTTCGTACGATTAAGCGTACTGTCGGTGGGGATTGGATGGAAGGCCATATGTACATCAAAAACGGACAGGGTGCCATTTTATGCTGACTAGGTAAAAGTGATCAATAACGTGAAGCCGAGGGCTATGGAAGAGGACCTTTTTTTTTTTTTTTTTT